GAAGGCGTTTTATTGCCTTCCTCATAGCCCCCTCCCCCTCCTCATCGACCTTCGCTGCTGCATCCGCCAAGGTTGCAATCGCCCCCGAGTTTTGATGCAGCTTCGCTCTCTTGCCACGTCTTCTCTTGGCTCCACTCAGTCTGACCCGATTCACATCGGTACCAGACTGGTCAGCCTTGTCAGACTTCGTGTGTTCGCCATCGCTGGCCCCACCCGAAGTTGCTTTTTCAATATTAAGATTTTTTAGATTGGTTTCCATTTTAGTCCCACGGGTACCGCGGTTAAGCGTTTTCACCTGGTGCATTGCCGCCATTGCCCAGGGCTCGGCTTGTCTCGGGTGGATTACACCCAAGACTACTCTCAGAGGTCGCCCAGGTTTCCGAGAGGCACCGTTAGCGACACAGCTCCCCCTGTGACACGCATCCTTAGGCACGGTATGGCCGAGGTCATGGCTTACGTCGCTCACACACATGGATTGGGTGGACTCCTCTTAACGACCGCGGGCAGCGGTAGTCCTTAAGACCTCCACCACCAGCGACCGAGCCCCCTCACTATGACAAAGTGGGAACCCGGTAGAGGGGGTAGTCAGGGGGTAAGTGCGAAGGAAAGTCAAGGTTGATGCCAGAGTGTGAATAAATTCCAAAGTCAGAGCCTGAGTGCAAAGGGAAGTCAAAGCCAGGGCCAGACTGTGGGTGAGAATGAAAGTGAGAGCCAGAGTGTTAATAAGCGTCAACGTCAGAAAGTGAGTGCGAGGGTAAGGCGAAGTCAGGGTCAGAATTTGTGTACTCACGTCAAAGTCAAGGCCTGTGTGCGAAGGAAAGTGGAGGTCAGGGCTAGATTGTAAATTAGACTCAGAGTCGGAACTTCGGTGCGAAAGGAAGTCAACGTCATGGCGAGGGGGTGAATGCCAGGAAGAGTCAGAGCATGAGTGCAAAGGAAAGTCAAAGTCAGGGCAAGAGTATGAAGAAGACTTAAAGGTTGAGTCTAAGTGAGAAGAAAAGCTAGAGTGTAAATGAGAGCTGTAGTCTGGGGGTAAGTGCGAAGGAAAGTCAAGGTTGGTACCAAAGTGTGAATAAGTTCCAAAGTCAGAGCCTGAGTGGAAAGGGGAGTCGAAATCAGGGTCAGAGTGTGAATAAAACTTGACATCGAAGCTCGAGTGAGGAGAGGAGTCCAAGTCATTATCAGAAGGCGCAACAGTTTTGAAGTCAGCGTCAGAGTGTGGAGTCATTCCAATAGTGAAGCCTGGAGTCAAATTTGGGCCCTGAGTGTGGATGAAAGTAAAAGTTTGGGCCTGATTGCGAAGGAAAGTCAAAGTTGACGCCTCAGTAAGGAAGGAAGTCGAAGTCAGGTCATGAGGGCGAAGAGAAGTCAAAGGCAGAGCCATTATGTGAATGAGAGTCCAAATCAGAGGCTGACCTGCAAGGAAAATCAACCTCAGAGCCTGAGTGAGAAGGATAGTCGAAGTCATGGCATAAGTGCAGAGGTAAGTCAAAGTCAGGGCCAGAGTGCAAATGAGAGTCAAAGTCAGGATCAGAGTTTCAGTGAGCGTGAGAGTCGGAGCCAGGGCCTGTGTGAGAAGGAAAGTCAAACTCATAGCCTGAGTGTGTCCAAGATATAAACAGGATGTGAATGTGAAGTGGAGTCAGAGCATGAGTGCGAAGGGAAGTAGAAGAGAGGGCCGGAGTATGAATGACAGTCAGAGTCAGTGCCTGAGGGTAAAGGAGGTCAAATACATCGCTTGAGTGCAAATGAGAACCGAAGTCAGGGTCTGAGTGTCAATTACACTCTGATTTTTAGACTATAGCTGCAATTTACATTCCTCCTACGCCCAAAGCTGCGACTTTTTAGCAGTGTTCAGTTCATGCCCACCCAAACCCTAGTTTTGTCATTCATTTGAGTATTCACGTAGAATTCGAGACCGATATTGATTATCAGTCAGACAGTACACTCGACATTCATTCTGACTATTACCCTAGCTTCGCCATCACAGGGCCTAGGTAAACCCTGTGATTTTTGTGAATACTTCTGACCGTATTCAGAGGTAGTTGCTAGAATTACTCTTCCAATGAATAACATAAGAAAGCCGAGGATTTTAGGGAGAACGGTTGATTGGACCTGTAAAGGATTACGCCCGATCGGAATAGTTTTCCTAGGTACAGATCATGATTCTAGAATCACATGTTTGAGCTGGTGAGCCGAACTACTTTATCCATAAAGGATCACGTTCCATCGAATTAGCAAAATTCTTTCCTCCCACGAGAGCAGCACTTGAGGACATTACAAGGAACAGGCCGGAATCACTTCACTTGTCAAGGTCTACCGGAATGATTTTTCCTAAACTTAGTTTTTGTCGAGAGTAGCACTTGAGGACATTACAAGGTACATAATGAAGTCGATATCACTGATTTTGCTTGCGTCGTTCCCTGGTAATCAGCCGAATAGTGAATCGAAGTCAACCTCCCATTCCATAATCGCGCGCAGCTTCTCAACCTATCGGAAAAATACTGAGAATTCATAATGACAAGTGGACTCCCGGCTACATTACCACATTCTGAAGCCACAAGTTTGAGCGTAGTTGCTGTGACTGCTCAACCTGTAAAGGATCATGCCCCATTTGAATGACTCCCATGAACGCTTTTTTTTGCCCGAGAGTAGCACTTCAGAAAATGGCGAGGGGCATAATGAAGTCTATTCCACTAATTTCACTTCCATCGTCCGTGTATAATTGGGCGAATAGCAAATCGGAGTCGATCTCCCGTTCAATAATCTTTCGTAGCTTCTCTACATGTCTGAAAAATTCTGATTTTCCTAATTACAGGTGAACTCTGGGCTCCCCTACAATACCTGCAGCCAATATGACGTATGCACATCATGAATCTGAAGCAACAAGCTTGGACTTAGAGGATGGAACTGCTTTAATCGTGAAGATCCACTACCCTTCAAAATTACTTTTCTGAATGCTTTTTTGTTCCCTAGAGTAGCACTTGAGGTCATTACAAGGAATATAATTATGTTATGTAATCGGTTGAATAGCAATCCAATCTCATCCTTCCGATACATAATTTGATGCAGCTTCTCTACCTATCTGGAAAATACCGAAATTCATAATTACAAGTGTACTCCGTCCTTCACTACAACATCTGCAGCCAATACGGCATGCGCAGAACAAGATTCTGGAGCTACAAAGTTGAGGTCAGTGGTGGGAATTGTACTGAGACGAGGTTATTTCCACGATTTTCCATCATTTTGTACAATTCTTACCTTTGGAAAATCTAACTAAAAATCTGTTATCGATGTGAACTATGGGGAGCAATTTCAGACCAAGCTTCATGATCTTTATCCACTTCCTTGGTTTACACCACGTGTACATCGAAAATAGATTGGAACATGCATATAAAAGAATGACATTTCCCATCTCACATTTTTTTATAACCCATGACTCAAGTTCTAGGGAAAAAAAATTCCCTAGCATACCATTAACTCACTTCACGGCAATTGCAAATGTTTATCCGCCATTTTGTTCAGAATTCACACGAAACGTTCCTTAACACTCATTGGCCCAACTTTAATCTTTAATAACTTAAAATCCGCTGAATAAATATTTTTTTCAGTATTTTTCCCGTGTTCTGTGAGTTTTTTTACGTCAGTGGTCAAAAGGAGAAAAAGTCATTCGGGTACAGCCTGTATACGTCCAAGAAATGCTCAGGTATCGCGTGGATAGCTGACTTCAGTGCGATATTGGGGATTCCATCAAGACCAGGGGCCTTGGTTTTTCCCACTCTACGGCAGGCTTCCGTCTGTTCTTCCTTGCTGATTGGTGGAACCATCATCTCTTTCCATTGTTCGCCTATACGAAGCAGTTCTACTAGCTGCTGCGGAAACAACACCGTGACGATTTTTTCCATCGACGCAGGCTACGTTCGTGACGGCATTGGTTGACTTTTGAGTCTCGACATTACCACCTCGCATGGTCTACCCCACGTATCGCTTTCCACCTCGGCAAGTAGTTCGCTCCAAGATTGCTTTTTACTGCACTTGATGGCTTTGCTGAGGTTTCGGGGTGCTTTCTTATATCTCGTCAACAACTTGCCGAAGTTCGGCTTCTTGCGGCCACGCTGAGCGAGTCTCCTAGCTGCATTATACTCCTCCGCAGGATGGCGTTGGTGTCATTCCACCAATACACCGGTGGATGCCGATTTGTCGTCCGCTTCCTGGTCATGGTGGCATCCCTTCTGCTACTCTTTCCATGATTGTGCGTGCCTTCTCAGTGGCATTGCTGCCGCTGATTGGGTCATCGTTTAATGCTGCTAGATAAGCGCTAGGATCGAAAGTGCTCATTCTCCAGCCAATAGAGTTGATCTTCTTGGGCGTTGAGGTGACTCTTCGGCGAGTACATATCTCCTAGATTATCGCGCGGTGATCGCTCGCCGTGCAGATATCAGTCGCTCTCCATAAGCAGTTCCATTTTGCAAGGTTGCTACTCATGAAAGTAAGGTCCACAATCGAGCTCGCTTCTCCCCTTACTAAAGTCGGTTCATCGCCACTTTTCAGCAGAACCATATCCATTACTGACATGGCTTCCAGTATAGATTGTCCTCTGATGTTTGTCTCCTTACTCTCTCAGTCGATTGCTCAAGCGTTGAAGTCCCCGGCTATTGCCACGGGAAAGGGCTGCTTCGCACCCTGAGTCAGTCTATTCAGGAAAATTGTAAACTAATCGATAGCAAGGCTTGGTGGGACGTAGCAACTGTAGAAATAGATTCTATCAATATTAGCCCTCACAAAGCCATTTTGTATGCTATCGCTCGTGGTATTTTGGACTAATCGATTCCTACAGGCCCAGATTGCAGCCTTCTTGCTAGCGTCAGTAATCCAGGATCCGGTGTCCAGGTGGCGATATGGCTCTGAGATGATGGCAAGATCGAGCTTCGACGCCCGCGCTGTCTGCATGAGCAAGTCGTGCGCTGTCTTACAATGGTTGAGATTGAGTCAGAGTACCTTTATCGTCGCTTGTTGAGCACCTTCTGGAGTGCCTCCTTATACACTGGACATTTACTGCTGCCAGCAATGTGAGCACAGTCTTCCGTGTTGCCTTTCTCAATGCACAAGGCGCATCGGGGTTTGTCTGTGCACTCTGAAGCCTTGTGCTCGGTAGCTGAGCATTTGATGCAGAGCTTAGACCGATCGACTGCACTCGTACACTTTGTGGCGAGATGTCCGTAGTACCCGCACTTTAAGCACTTTATCGGTCTCTCAACCCTCCTGATACAGCAACTGATCCCGCCTATCTTGATTTTCCCGTGCTCTTCCAGCATCTTCTTCGCAGCGGCTGCCGCGAGTGTCACTGAGGCAATCTGGGTTCCTCCAGATGCCTTACGCAAAGACATGACAGTCTCACGAGCTATTTTGAGCTCCTTCCCGGCTACTTTCTATAGGGCCTCGAGGACATCCTCCTTCGATGTGATCTCATCAAGTTCCTTTATCTCCAGATCCTCCTGTGGCCCCTTACTGAGTACCTCGGCTTCATCTCCAAGAAGACTTGCGATGGTTCTATGCAGCTGAGGAGCTCCATCGACCGTCTTCCTAGTCAAGATCAATATATCCCCGGTCGCCGTCCGGGAGATTTTATTGACAAAATCTTGAGCTTCCTCTGCAGAGACATCCTTCTTTACTCGGCGGAGAATATCAGAGTATTGATCCTTGTCCTTGGGTCGGACAATCAGGGCATCAGGTCTGGACACTGTACTCCTTGGAACCACGCTCCGTGTCGTATTTAAGGACCCTAAGAGTAAACTAGCTGCCGACTATTCTCCGCAAGTATCCCGGTACGTTGAACTTCACTAAAGCTTCGATGATACAGTCCCATTTGGCCGAGTTGAAAGCATTCTTAATATCTCGCGTCACTACTAAGCAGTATTTCTTCGTGCCATTCAGCCATCTTTTCCCTGAGATCGCGTCCCTGGCAGTGTTAACAATAAGGTTGATAGCGTCTAGGGTATATCAGCCTTTCTGGAACCCATATTGGTTGTCGGCCACCAGGGGTTCGACTGCTGCTTTTATCCTTTGATGTACGATACGCTTGAGGATCTTACCAGCGGTATCGAAGATGCAGAGAGCACGGTATGATGATGGGTCATCCGGTGGTTTGTTGTCTTCCGGGAGCAATACCAGCCTCTGCTGCTTCCACATGCACGGAAAGGTGCTCTCTCTTAAGCACTCGCTGTAGACGTCCAAGAACATCTCCGGCCTCGTGCGGATAGCTTACTTCAGGGCGATATTGGGGATTCTATCCAGCCCAGGGGCCTTGGTATTACCCACCCTATCGCAGGGTTCCATCAACTCTTCTCTGGTGATTGGTGGCAACATTATCTCTTCTTCTTGTTCATCAGGATGCTGGAGTTCTGGTTGTTGCGGGAACAATACTGTGACCATTTTCTTCAGCATCACATGACAGATAGGCGATGGCGTCGGTTGACTCTTGAGTTGTATCATCACCACCTTATATGGTCTTCTCCATGCATCACCTCATTATGAAGCTCACTCCAAGATTGTCTTTTACTGCGCTTGAGAGCCTTGCTGAGCTCCCGGCGTGCCGTCTTATATCTCTTCTGCCACTTCTCAAAGTCTGCCTTCTTACGGCTACGTTGAGCTAATCTCCTGGCAGCGTTACACTCCTTCCGTAGCACAGCGATCGTGTATTTCCACAAATACACTGGTGGATGCCGATTTGTGGTCCGTTTCCTCGTCAAGATGACATCACAGGCTTTGGTCACTCTTTCCATGATGCTGTGTGCTTTCCAAGTAGCGTTATGCTACTGATCGGACTATCGTCTAACGCTACTCTATAAGAGGTAGGATCGATGGTGCTCACTCTCCAGCCAAAGCAGTTGGTCTTTTTCGACGTTAATCCCAAATGTCGGTCCCACTCCGTGGCTTTTTCCATTCTCTGAGGGTCCAGTGTTGACTGGAGAAGCAGTATGGAGCACCAGCAAAGGCATTTCAGTGGAAGAAAACCCAGAGTCCCACGGAGTTGCCTGAGAGGAGGTGAAATCGTCTGGAGAGCATTCCGAAATGTTATCCAGGGTCTGAGTGCTAAAATTGAAGCCCTAGATCCGAGAAGAGACTCAAGATCATTCTCTTAACTCTGAGGAATAACGATAGTTAGAGAAAAGCTCCAGAAACCGGAGAGAATATGTCGTAACGTGATCAATTTTTACTGGGGATAAAAATGGACGTTATCTCGCCCTTTTCCCTTGGTAAAGTCAGAAAACTGAAACTCGATGATTGTGGGTGCCAGTTGTTCTGTGTCTCGACGGAAACAATAAACCGAAATTAGGTCGAAGCGGAAAAATACAACAAAACCAAAGATTCAAAAACACAAAAAAAACTTAAACCTAAGGGGGCCAAGGGAAAGGTGACAGGATGCTTGCGCTGCTCAGGGGGTCGGTTGTGGAGTGAGGGGTAGGTTCAGTTGGAGAACGGGTCACTGGGCTCTTATCCTAAAAGAAAGAAACGTAAGGCCAAAATTTAATACTGAAATGTACGGGTTTATACTCTAAAATTCAATAAAAGAGTAATAATCGTAATAATCGTCTCAAAAAAACCACAGTCTGCTCTGAGAGTGAGGGAAAGTGACCAAAAAATATACAGGGTGACCCAGTTAAAACAGCGCACCTGAATAACTCCTAAAAAAAGGGTTAAATGGAAAAATGTTTCATATGAAAAACGGAGGGTTTCGAGGGGGACATCCGATGTAAGCTTTATTTTGAGCTTGGAAGCTCATGCTTGCAAGCTGCAAGCACAAGGTGCACTGTTTTAAATGGCAACCACATTTTTCATCCCTACGAAACTTGTTTCTGTAATGGACCCGCGCGGTTGGGTTCAATTAGGGATGAATTACACGCGGGTAGATAATAGAAATAATTACTTTATTGGGAATTCGTTTTTTAATCATTAATTTAAAAGTTATTGAATAAATAAAACTCGGTTTGATACTGAATGTATCAAGGGAGTATAAAGTATAAAGAAGGTAATCAAAGAATTGACAAGTAATTGGCCCCGAGACAACGATTACACGAGTTTTTATCACCTCATGTAATACGATTGCATCAGGTCATTGTTCTTCGTCGCACACCCGCAAGGCATCGGGTGACGTCTTCCCGGTGTACGCGAAGGCCAGTCGTCGGGGCGCAAAGTGCTGACGCTGCACCCCAGTTATCTGTATTCGCCGTTAACTTCTGAAGTTTTATTCACGAGTTTTTCACGTTATTTTATATTTCTTCATTCCACTGTTTGTTTCGAATAACTTGTGCCACTTTCGTCACTTCATGTTATTCGAATAAGCAGTTGAATTTTGAGATGTTATTTGGGGCATAACATCCCTTCCCGCCAGGGAAGAAAATTACTACCCTCAGGAATTTTCTCTATTCACCCTAACTCACCGATATAAACCTTAATTAATAAGGTTTTTTACATTAATAATCAATATTACAAATTAAATACAATACATAAATTCTTATGCTACTTCGAAGCTAGGCGTTTCTCTTTTGGGTGCTGGCCAAGGTTTTCGACACCAGCAGTAAAGGGTTAGCCCCGAGATGAATGCTAGAATCACCATTACCCCGGTGAATATCGATGATGGGTGTGTAAGAAATTCTCGATAATCGAACTTCTTTTCTATCCGGTTCAGATCTTCTTTCTCAGCTGCCAGTTGCACGTGGAGCCCTTCCAGCTCTTTCACGTTTCCAACGACATTGTTCAGCTGGATGTCACTCAGATTGAATCTTCGTTGCTCGAGCTGAGTGGTGGTGACGTCATCTAACGTCAAGTTCAATTTTGGGTGAACATGAGCGTTGTATGTTACCTCATGTGACTTCCGCCCTCTTATGGTGAAGTCGGAAGCGACTATCTCGCAA